GAAACGCATGTGCTTTTTAAAATTCATTTGGTGAGAAAAGCAAAATCAATGACCACCGAGCTGACTAATTTTTACAATGTCGCTTTTAAACGAGTAATCTTCTTTTCTCTCTAAATCCCACATTACAATGAAAAATTCAGTCTAATAAACTCTTGGCGCTAATGTGCCGGATGGAGCAAACCAGACAAAATCCAGTAGTTGAAGTTTTATTCACTTGCAGCACTATTTAAAAGTGGCGCCATCCAACTGCTTGATCAAATATAAAATCTCCGTTTTAGAAGTCGAATCAGTCCATATACCAGCGAATGTGGCAATTTATGTCCAGCAGTAAGGGTGTGATGATAAATAATGCGACAGAGGCGATAGCTCGAGTTAAACGAGGCGGCTACGCCTACATTCTTGAGTCCACCATGAACGAGTACTTTACTCAGCGCAACTGTGATCTCATTCAAATTGGAGATAATCTCGACTCAAAGGGTTATGGCATTGGGTTTCCTCAAGGTCAGCCCATTGTTTTTATTTCATTTGTCAACCTCTAAAGCTGGCCTATTTTCCTCCTGCAGCACTTTGATTTAGGCTTACCCCTTCGTGTTTGATTTGCGTTGTATCCTAACGCACTTTGCTGGCCCACCTCGAAGTCAGTAGGAACTCTACAAATGCACTTCACTTCTAAATGGCTTTATTTTAAGGGTTCATGCCATGGTATTTCAAAACCCACCAGCCGTTAATGCTGCGAGATCTCAAATCTAAAATGCAAAACGAAATATGACTGAATTGCAACAAATAAGGAAAATGTTTGTCAAGCGGTACACGAGACTGCACTCTGCAGTAGCTGGGGTTAATATTGAAAATCCCTTTATCATGAAAATCACTCAGAATGAGGCAGCTTCTTACCACCCTTACTACATTCGGTCCCTCCTTTTTGCAATATTTTATTGAATTATAAATGTCAAGCCCTCTCCATCGAGGCTTTAGCTCACACTGGATTAAAGGAGGATATATAGCTGACTTTTAAGATGTCCAAATTGGGGAAGGGTACAGATAGACTTGGGAAATCATGCCACCAGACGGTCGAATGCGATCACAAAGCAGACGATGTTATTGTGTGCCCTGTAGACAAGTTGGGCTGGAGTGAGAGATTAATACCATCTCATAGACCTGATTGGTGGTTCAATTACCACGTCCTCCATATAAAATCTGTATTAGGATTGATTTGTGTCAAAAAGACTGGCAAAGCAGCGACAATATGGCAGAAAAGGCTTCTGAGGTGCTGTAGTTGGCACTGCTTGACCTGCGGTTCGCAAAATATGAGCGTCTCATACTCAAAACGCATTGTCACTACAAAGTGGATGGATTTGCATAGGTAGCATGTGACTTCCAAACTTTAAATTAATTAGCAGATTTTTAACGGGTTCAACTGAATACATTGTTGGTGCTCCGCAATGAGGCTGCAAACCACTTGCACATATTTATACTTAAACATTAC